AGACGGTCATCTGGGCCCCCAAAGAAGGGTAAGAAGACGTGGAACATGCCCTGGCCTTCTTTCGCTTCCGAAAGATGGCGATCAACAAACAGGGCGACATCTGCCGTCGATTCTTTGAACACACCCCTCATGAAATGGGTCGGCATCGCCGGGGAGGCCCAGTCGCGCTTCATGGAGTCGAATGGGCCTAACAAAGAACTCGACGATCCAGTACCATCGCTGCGTTCGTCAGATATACCGTTGCCGGGCAAAGTACTCGTCCAAGGGAAGATAACCATTTGAGAACCCGTCTCGCGGACATGTTGAACTACTCGGAGAGGGTAATCTTCTTGCCCTAGGACAGACAACGAAGTAGACACGTTCAAGTGGTTCAGCTGCCCGAATGTGCGGAACACATTCAGGACTGGATCGCTGCGCGCCAGCATGTCCGCTTGATGAGACTTGAGTACAGCAGAAGCCCTGTCAGTAAGCTCGATGAGTCGGAGTGCATCGACTGTGATAGCCGTCTCTGTGGGAGAAGGTGGAGTTATTTGGGGATCTGATGCCTTGAAATCGATGCTAGCGGAAACACCGGTTGAAGGCAGTTGGAGTAGTTGTGCGAGCGTCATGGCGGCCGGTAACTGTTCCACCCTGTCCAGAACCATGGTGAACGTAGTCTTGACTGTGTCGGATAATGGTCCACCGGGTCCACTGGAGGCACCCTTCTCTATCTTACCGACAGCACCTCCCTGCAGCGCGTCAGCATGGACACGGACGCGCTCAGGATAGAACAGGAGCACAAGTGGTGTTGTCACAAATGTCGTCACGAGAGCATGGAGTACAAACATAGAAAAGACGCGGGTGTTGAGTATACCAGCTTGGAGACCGACGTTCAAGGCAATGAGTTCAACCAATCTAACCACGATGGAGAGCATAAGCCTAACACACACGGTACCGCAGAAAACAATAAGTCATACCCCTTGCACGCCATCAACGAGCCTACAGCGCCTGACTCTCGGACGGTGAATCCAGTCAACTTCGCAGCGATTGAACAACCTATGAATTTCGAGAAGAATGAGACCACACAAATCAGAATTGTGTAACCCCAAGTGATTCCATTGTTTAACAATCCCAGGTCGGTACGGAGTCCCGAGATCGTGAAATACTGTGCACCGCATGTCAACAGGACAATGTTGCATTATGCCAAGAAACCTCACGATGGGTAGGAACAGGACGGCTACTAGATCTTCGATCTTCTCAACGAGTGCGATGGCATATCCATTCTGGTGTGGGATAATAATTCCTGCGACGAACCCACCCTGCGACAAAAAGAGTTAGAATGAGAAGTCAGATTTGATAGATTTGTAAGACGTACAAATATGGGATGAATGCCAATAATATCAGTGAAGAAGCCAGACACAAGCACGATAACGATAGTCAAGGTCATCATCATCAAATTAGGTTGTCCTTTCTCAATGCATCCTGTGCGCCTCGCTAACCAGTGATAGGCCCATCGCACAGGAAGAGTCAAGAATAGAACATATGCAACTGCAGAAAGCAAAATGTACAGTGCGGTAATCCCATTCGATGCGTTGACCAGGGCGACACTCAAGGCCAATAGTATCCAGCCAATAACTTGAAAGCGTGCGTTAATCTTGATGCAAAGGGCTAAATGATTGCATAAACTCACTGTCGTTACCAACTCCTGCAGCCAACACAGTCACACCAACAGTCGTCTCCACGAGCTTTAGCTCTGTAAGAATACGACAGAGCACAGGAAAGGCGGTGATCCCAACAGCGACAGCGATGAACAAGATGAAATAACCGAAATTGACGGTATCATCTATGAAGGTGTGGTAGATGGGTACAGCAAGTGCCGCACCAAGGCCCAGGGGCACGACCAGGCCCACAATAGAAATAATCGAGGACGCCCTTGCATTCCGTCGCATCACCCGAACATCGATTTCCATGCCTACCAGAAATAGGAACAACATGATTCCTATGTCAGAGGTAAGAACCAGGACAGGCATGGACGTCGTGGGGAATATGTTGGTTAAGAATCCAGGGATACGACCCATTACAGAGGGACCAAGTAGAATGCCCCCAATGACCTCTGCAATTACTCGGGGCTGGCGAATGCGACCCAGGATAAGGGCCAGTAATTGGGTCATCCCTATGATAACGACTGAAATTCGGTCAGTACTTGCTAGACTGCGAACACTGCATAGGACCCTCACGAATTTGAACAACCCATAGGGGAAGAGGGTCGTTGGGGTTATAAGCTATCGGATTCTGCCCCGCAAACAGAACAGACTGCGAACACAGTTGGTCAAGAGCTTCCGGGCGCATGAGCCATATCGCCCACCTGTTCCGGTGCACTGGCCCGCTTGAACATCCTAGTGACATCGAGAAACTCCCTGACAAGAACGCCCATCTTGAATATCCAAGCGAGACTGCCTTGCCGCCGAAAGTCGACCAGAAGTTGTCCGGACTGGTCGGACAAAATAGGGAGACCGCTGTGTAGGGATTCGCGAAACAGAGGCTATATATGTAGCGTCTGGCTGAGCGGCTGAGCGCTGATGTAGATGGCGTAGCCGAGTGAGTAGTGATAGCTCCTAAACCAAGCTTGTGATGGCGTCTCAGACTCTCAGCCTAGGGGCAGTGGCGGACGCGGATGCGATCGATCAAAGGCACATTGACACTATTCATTCTCTTTCATAGCTGGTACATACGCATTACCGCATTCTCCATCCTCTGAGCGGTCGATAAATCCTGCGACTAGATGAGTGTCTGCACTCATTCACACAGAGATAACGCAATTCGTCATGATGGTAGGCCAGTGACCACCCGACCAGATCCGGGACGTCAAAGGCGTACAAGCGGCAGACAGATATCAATATTAGAGGGAGGTAAAGGTACACAACAATGCAGCAGATACAGGGGATAGCGCGACGAGACCAGGTCCATTCACACACCTTCAGGGGATGATCCACCACACAGGACCTCATCTATTAGGTGTCGGAACTACATCCGCGGCACCCTGGGAAATTCGTGAGCTGCTGGTTAACAACCCCATGGAAGTCACTTGCCGCAATGCACGCATTCCACTATTGTACCTGCTCTTAGCTGTCCTTTGGGTACACGGCATATACAGGTAGAGCCTTGGTAGTTCATATCCTAAAATATCATCTCTGTTTAGGACTGATAAAGATGAAACTTCTGGTGACGTACCCTGGTCTGAATACATCTCACACAGCACAGTTTTTCGTATCCAGATTTCTTCCACTTTGCAATTAAGCTGTATCACAGTGTTCAGATGCGATGCACGATGTTAAAAATACCAAATAACGTACTTGGCGTCCGCGTAGCCCTCTTTCAGAAGCCAGTCATACAGCTCTTTGCTAATCGCCTCGCGTTTGTAGTACAACTCATAAATGTATCGTGAGCGGGTGTGCGAGATGCGCATAATAGGCCATAGCGACTCTGTTTTGCGCTTGCCTTCATGGCTTTCATTCTCGGCGTCACGCATCTTCTTCGCATAGTCATCGAGGATCTGGGCAGGGTTACAGCGCTGTCAGACAATGCAGCTGACTGCGAGAGAGCATAACCTACACCTTCAATGTCCTCAAATCCCTCTGGGGGCTTCTTCGTTCTCGTTGTTCGAATCTTCGGCATGCTGGTCAGACTGGCAGTAAGTACAAAACTCGAAGCCGGTGGCAACTGAGCGAGAAACACGATTTACGTAAGCACGCCGCCTCGTTGAATATGCGCCCGAGACGCGCCCAGACTCGAGACCTGTTAACTGACCCAAAACCCGCTTCCAAGGTGCGAGCTTCATACAACGCAAGCTGCGAGAGCCACACGGCCAGTGGTTGGAGGCAAGTATATAGCGGCGAATTCTCATCTGCTGCGCTCCGTGCTTCTTGGACGCCATCAACCACCTTGCCGCTGTGCGACCTGCGTGATACCAGCCCTCTCCTTTGTCCCTTACATCCTCCCCGACTTTTTACATCTTGCTCACGCAGGTTGTGGCTACTTGAACAACTACACACATTGTGCATCGCGCTCGCTAATCGCAGACTATGCCACTAATCGTACCCGTGCTCCGTCTGGCTTATGTGTTCCTGAATATCTTTGACACTTTCAAGACCCTTCGACCTCCTCCCCCATCGACCAAGAACGATGGTCAACCAAGTGTTCGGGCCATAAGCCAGAGGAAGCGGGCTATGAAGGGAATTATGGCTGTTTGGATCGTATGGGTATGTCTACATCGATTTGTTGCGTGACTGTAGATAACCCATTCACCTCGCGAAGGGTTCTTTCGCTATGTACGAGCGTACGCTGGATTCTGTGGTCAGGCTGTTTGTACCGTTTTACGATGAGTTTAAATCGCTTGTTATACTATTTTTCGTTTTCACTCGAGCGCGCGTAAGTCAATAACTCCCGGTGATATATATGCTTATTCGTCTGACGGATGATCATGGACCTGCAGGGCGCAGAGCCAATCTTTCTGCACGCTATTCGCCCATTTATCAAACCCTATGCCGCAACTCTGGATTCCTCGCTGGAGTTGGTCGCGACGACGGGTGATTTCATGCTCCTTCTGGCACTTATACCGGTTCAGTTTGTCCTGAGCTACTATCGGAGATGGATATCGCGCGGAGATCCTCGACCAGAAACGATGGACAGCCAGAGCGTTCCCGAACAAGTCAGGAGGGAGAGCGAGAAAGTGGTTGCCGATTCAGATCAAAGCTCCAAAGGAGTAAACCCAGCTCCGCGCGGGCGTGGTAGTGTCATTAGCGGGAATACACTTACTAGGGGTACTGGACGGCCGACTACACATGCAAAATCATCGTTCCAGCGTCAGAAATCTAGCGGTGCCCATAACCCTGCACCTCGAGCGACTAGATCAACAGTGAGGCGGTCATCCCAGTCATCTCAAGGCGCGCCACCACCATACGAGATATGGTATCCACCCCTGTCGGCCCATGATAATGCCCCGACCAACCCGCTCACGGGACTGCCGACTCCCCCAGAAGACGATCCCCCGGCGTTTGATACATCCCTCGAGATTAAAGGTGATGATTGGAGGCAGTACCCTGCGTTTCCATCCGCATATCCTTCAACGCCATTAACTGCTCAGCCAAAATTGCATGTCGCGAACGACACTCGGGCGTCTTCCTCCTCAAGCCTCTCAGAAGAACTAAGAAGACCCCCTCCAGGCCTTGCAACCGTGCCCCTTGGTGCTACCGCTGGACGTGTTCCAGGATCGCCGCGTGGATCTCCAATCTCCGACTCTGCTCGCGAATGGAGTGACAATCAGGGTAGCGATGAAGAGGCTCAGGATCAAGATCACATAATGGACGTTGAAGAGGATACGCTCGATGATTCGGAAGTCGACTCAGAGGAAGACGATTTTGATGTGACCCTTCGAACCCCCTCTCGTAAAAACCGATTCCAAGCACCAGTAAAGGAAAAGGCATCGCTTACATCCGCATCTACGGACAGCTTGGTTAGCAGAAGCACTCACCTCAGTACTACAGACAACGGCTCGTCACTGCGCACTAGGACAAACTCGATTGCATCGACAACGCTCACTACATCCGATGCTGCTTCCATCGTGGGGATCAAACGGCGTTTGCCTCGCGGCGAGAAGGCTGAGGAACGGTTTCGCATTAAGCCTTCCTCCAAGATGGTTGCCGCATCCACCAGGTCAGCTGGTGTGCAGTTGCACACGCGCATGCGCGCAGCGTCACGCAAGACCACACATACGCATGCAGAGTCCTCTGCAGAGGATGATTCAGAATTTGCGGGGGACAGTGATGCTGGCAATACTCGCAACGGCGCGGAGGCAGAGAAGCGACGACGAGTGCCTGGAGTACCTGGGGATCGCCTATCGCGGCCTACTGCTTCCCGAGAGGATAGCAACAGGACTATTCGCGGCACCGCTCGCAAGGCAGCAGCTCCTATGCAGGCAGCCTCGCGCTCTGGAGCGGCCCGGAGACTGGCGACTCGCGTAGGAGAGAGTGAACGGAACGCGACAGTGAGAACTCGTAGGTCTGTGGCTACTCTGGAGGGGAAGACTCGTGCTGCAGGGAAACGATGAGATAGGATGGAGACACAGAAAGAGGATTTGGATTAATCTGTTTCAAGAAGCATTGACAATGACACTGCCACATGACGTACGAGCTGCAAGATTCTGCATTGACCGAGACATACTGGATGTACCGATTGCATTACATTTTATCTTCTCATTGTTTAGTCGCGCTTTTACTAACGATATGTATTTGTGTTGGAGATGCATCAGTGCGTGCGCGGAAGATTTCGTCCCAATATGTCTGTCTGTAATGTTAAGTGTAGCCTGCATACCGGGCGGCTCCAGCATGATGGAACCTCCTCGGGACCTGGCGTCGTGCCTAGTATTGGTATTGAGGGCGCTAGTGCAGGCGTTTAAATAACATGTTAGCAGCCGCCGCGCTACTACGCTCGCGCGCGCTCGCGATGCTCTCAATTGACCATATGCTAAGTCACGCATAATCGAACACATACACTCACATTTGCTTCAAGTTGGGATTCCATTCTAAATTTCTAATATTTCCCGCTACGATAATACGCGACGCAGAGCGATCCCGATGATACACCATGGGAGAATACCTCAGATTACTTGCACCTACTTCCGAACCCACCGCCCATATTGTCACCCCGAGACTCGATAGCGATAGCCTAGTCGTATCAGTTATGCTTGTACGGACCGGTTATCACCGCGTCTTAGCACGTTTGTTTGCTTGTTGCGGTACATAAATGCTGATTTCATCGTCATCATATGCTAAGTTATGTGCGAAACCTTCTGGACTCATATCAGAGTTCTGTGCCTCGCAAGGCCTTCGACATCAAATTTATAGAGCTTGACGTTTTGGATCCAAGACATGTCTACGCCGAGGGCTTACGTTGAAGTGATGAAGGGAAATTCGTAACGTAGACCATGCTCGTTCCACATAATCGAAGCTAAGGTTGACACAGCTGCAAGTGACTGCAGGATGAATTAGGCAGCGCAGCCTGCCAATCAACGGCGCCGGCCCCAATAATGCATATGGGCAAGAGATATGCAACTGTGATGACGTTACTGAATCACTGCTTTTCAACCTACTACATAGATCAACATTAATATTCGTGCAGATGCGGGGCAGGTCTGGCAAAGTTGGCCCTGGGCTAATGTGACTGAACTGCGTATATGAGCACTGATTCAACGACAGAATACGGTTTAGCACACCAGGCTTTTCAACCCATCCGCGGCCAAATTGGTACGATCGCTCAGAAACATGATGTATTGCTAGCCATGTCGCTTGCTCATGCTCTCTGCTCTGAGTGGTTTGGATGCTCCCTAGATGGATATTATACCTCGTAAGGTGTGATTTTCCCTCATGCACTCCTAATACACTCCATTGATTCTTGGACTCGGGTTTCTCCCGCGGGGCCTGCTCGTTCCTATTCGTCTTCTAGTGGTATATGTGCAATTCCGCATCCGGTCGTGTCGCTGCCAGGTCCTGACTCTTCTTTCACTCGTGATCTACCGCATTTGGACGATATTCTACCTCGAACATTCGACGGGTTTGACGTCGGTCACGGCAGCAGCCTCCCTTATATACAGTACCACTACCTTTCCATTTTCAACACCATCTCCCTCCTACTCCCCTTTTCCGAGCCACGATGCTCGTTTCACTTGACCAAGTTGCGGACAAGTTTTTTGACTACGTCGTCTGCGGTACGACTCTCCGTAGTTTTCTCCCGCCCGTGTTGTGCTGAAATTCTCCCGTATATATTCAAGGAGGCGGAGTAGGTCACTTCCCCTGGATCGGTCGTTGTCCGAGAATGCTTATTCCCGTCACGCATAGACTGCGGGTCTCACTCTCGCAGTCCGGTTGAGCGAGGATCCCAACGTATCAGTACTTGTATTAGAAGCGGGCGGAACCCACTTCGACGATCCTTCTATTTGTGAGTACACCTTTCCAGTTGCTTTATACACTGCCAATGTGCCTCTCTTAGTGCGTCCCGCATCATGGGGGAGTCATTTCAGTAATTCTACGCAAAGTTGGAATTTTCAAACAGTATAGTCCATCTTTCTCAGTGACATCTAATTGAACCCTGATGTCTGCCTATGAAAAAGGTTTCGCAGAAATCATCTGGTGACAAACCGTTCCCCTGGTTCAGGTTCGTAAATGATGCGCGCGCTTCTTGAACTGTATCTGATTAGAATATTAGGGGAAAGGGCCTTGGAGGAAGTTCTTGTATAAATTTCATGTGCTGGCTTAAGCCTCCTGCAGCCGAGATAGATGGTAATTTATTGCCGATTTATTCGGCTTATAGACTAATATCTACTGTAGACCTTGAGAGGCTCGGAAACCCTGGGTGGAACTGGACTGACTACCAGAAACATCTTGACAAGACCGAAGGGTAAGGCTACCGCTGAGCCATATCGATTTCGGCTCTTACTAACATTTCGCCATCGCTAGATTTATAACGCCGAGCGTTGATGTGCAGGAGCGGAACCGTCTGTGCTTCGATACGTGGAGAATCGGCACAAATGGTAAACGCTTTTCGTAGTCGCGGCCTCCTTCACTGACGCGTCAGTATCCTAGGACCTCTCAAGATTTCTTATCCAGGTACGATTGATGACGCAGAGTTGAAGATTCAAGAGGCGAGTTTGAATCTTTTTTTGAAGCACCGAATGACTTATTCGAGCTGAATTTTTCCGTTCGTTTCATCATAAAGACCCTGATCAATGCGGGCCTTCCTGTTTCGCGTCAACCCGTAAGTCTCGTATATGTTGAAAACAAACTTCAAGCTAATTAATCAATGTTAGTTGAGCGGTGACGTCAGTATTTTTAACATTCAATAACGTTGATACATTCACTGATTCTGATCATATAGCCAACAGGTGTCTTCCTCGCTCCCAACACCTATGATCCGACTACTCATACCCGGTCATATGTCACGACTGTGAGTCGTGTGATAGCGACTGATATCCAGAGTTACATTTTAATTTCACCTTTAACCCCTACGATAAGGCCCATTATCTCCCTCACAAAGAAAGGGAGAATCTCTCAGTGCTCGTAGACACATCCGCTAGCCGCATCCTGACGGACACCACGGGAAACGGCAACACTACTGCAATTGGGGTACAGTTTGAGTATGAGAATGAAACATATACCGTAAATGTGCGCAAAGAAACCATCATATCGGCAGGGTAAGAAACCTTTCACTCCAGAATCAAGAGCTCATGTTCACAAGAACTTTGTTTGAGCTAGCTCGATTCAATCACCGCACATACTTGAGCTCTCCGGGATTGGTCGGAAGGAAGTGCTCGAAAGGATTGGAGTGCCAATAAAAGTTGACCTTCCTGGAGTCGGAGAGAATGTGCAAGAACACATGTTTGCTGGTGTCTGTTTTGGTGAGTACCATACGTTCCGATGTACATAACAGTGACATTCATCGCTAAGCAGAGCTGCGGGATGATATCGAGTTTGACACAGTTGACCTACTCCGCGATCCTGAGATCTTTGCAAAGCAGTTGGAACTACAGTAGGGCATAGACTGCTTAGAATTGTCCATTGCTAATGTGAATATTGCGGTCTCAGTGCCACCGGGAGGGGGATATTCACCAAAGGGGTCGTGGGATTTGGCTTCGCGCCCCTGCAGATGTTCTCTGACAAGGCCGAGGACATTCACACGAAGATCGAGGAGAAGATTGCGATGAGCAAGAATAAGTTTCCACCAGGACTGATGGAACAGTACAAGGTCCAGCTCGATCGCTTGCACAGGGGCGCTCCTGGTTGCGAATTCATTACCATCCCTGGCCACTTATCTTCACCGCGTATGTCATGCGAGTTTCGCAAAATACGGATTGGCTAATTGTTACTCAGATCAACCTGTTGCGGGTAAGAGGTATATTACGATACTTGCCGCAATGAATCATTGCTTCTCGAGAGGCACTATTGTAGGTTGTTCTTTGCTGCTCCTTCCTCAACGGTATAAGTTTGATGTGCCCATAGCATTCGGCATCCGCGGACCCGCAAAAGGACCCCGAGATGGATCCACGTTACTTTGAGCAAGAAGTCGGTGTGTATCACAATCCGCTTTGCATCCGAATTGTGATGGTAATATCATCGCAGATATGGATATATTCTGTGAAGTGGTGAAGTTTGCCAGGAAGCTAGCACAGACCTCCCCGTTGAAGGACATGATCGGTAACTGCGCAAATTTACTTCGCTTGAAATCGTCTCATCATATCACATTCTCAACTTGATCTTAGTGCGCGAGATCAACCCGGGCCCAGAGGTACAAGGAGATGTACAAATCTGTGGTAAACTTGCATAAGCATATGTCATTCTCTTGGATATTTATTTCCACCAGACTGGATCAGGAATAATTTCTCGACCACATGGCGTCAGTCAATTTTCCTCATCTGAAGGACGTTCACTAAGTATCTGGGTCGTCCGTTTTTCAGATACGGCTTCATCCTGCTCTATGCTGCCCCGAGAGAGTGGCGGCGTGGTTGACCCAGAGCTAAAGGTAGCCACATGATGTAAGTCTTAAGTCCAGCAGCTGACGCATGTCCACAGGTCTATGGGACGAATAATATCCGGGTAGTAGACCTGTCCATAGTGCCGCTACATTTTGCTGCCCATCCTCAAGGTATGTGTCGCAGGGTACATTAAATCGCTCGATCCCCTGATTGTCCCTTGGTACAGCAACTGTGTACGCTATTGCCGAGAAAGGTGTGTCTGCATTTGATGTGAGAGACAACAGTACTGATGGTTTTTCATAGCTGCAACTATCATCAAAACCAACTATGTCGCGTCAAACATCGGTGACAATATAGTGATTTGAATGTCTCGTCGCTGCCTGGATACATGCACTTCAAGTTCGTACATCTGGGACCGGGAACGCTGTTGCATTCAATCGTGTGTAAGCATTCGATGAATTTGGTTTATTATCGGGGGTATTTTTTGTGGTTCAATGGGGCATGTGTTGAATAACAAATGTTGACGTAGAATAAATATGATGTGTGTACACTAATATTGAAGGTGAATTCAATTATTGAGGCGCGCAGAGATCGGCTCCTTACCGTGCAGGAGATCCGCTGATCGATGATGCGACTTATCCCATCGGCTTCTCCGTCCGACGGAAACACTCTGTCCTCGGCTGGACGATCATGATAAACTGGTAATCCGCTTTTTCAACTTCTCTATCCATGTCTCAGTCCTGATAATGGACGGTGGAAGTCATTCACTGTGCTGAAGTCAAGACTTTGGTCAGCTGATTTTGATCACGCTGTGGTGATCTGGTCCAACACCCGCCTATGGGTTTTGACGATCAGAAGTTATCTAGTGCGCCCATGATACCATGAACTCCCCTCCCCCAAATCCGGTCTACTCAGCGTTCACGCGAAAATATAGATAATATAGTTGATCCTCAGCTGTAGGACGGAACGGACCCTCGATAGGGCCTCACGGACGGAACATCATCATCACCAAACAGACGCGGTGGACAGCGGTAAAATATTTGTCTCTCTCATTATTGCTCTCCTTAACTTAGGCCCGGTCCGCTGAAAGTGTGAGCGACACCGCCTCGAAGCGGTGGACTGTTCGCTCAAACTTTTTAAGCCTTGGCTCGCCCCAGGGTTTGATCGGCGGACAGGCGGGCCAGTCGTGTCGCCCCGCCAGTTATACTTGGCGCGAGGGGGCCGCCATTGTACAAGCCGTAGGTCATGAGCTGGCTGATCAATCCATGCTGTAGCAATATTTCCATTGGTTTATTATCGCAGTGGCCCCTGTGAACGAACTAGATTCGGAAGAGCATGCACTTTACCGTCCTGCCTTCACTCTCCTGGCGCCTCCTGGCGCGATCGCTGCGCCCCTGTAAGCGCGTTTCCGTGGAATGTCAAGCGTTCCGTCCCGTTGTGACATTGGAAACGCTCCCGCTCTGCGCCTTCTTGGATTCGGGATTGATCATCTCTTAGCATCTCCTGGTATGCTTTGGCATAGGTCACGACGGCGCAGAGCTTTGTATATAGTCCATATCCCTGTCGCCTAACTTATCTGATTTGACGCGCTCATATCTCACCCACTCGTAATGCTCGTGTCTCTCGAACAAGTTGCGAACAAGTTCTTTGATTATGTTATCTGTGGTAAGACACTCCAATGATTCGACATTGCGCACCTTGTCTCAAGCATAGTTCGCGTTTCTAGGAGGCGGGGTAAGTGTCACACTGGCTCCCCTCGACCATCAGAATGTTTTATCTGAACCTGGGGTAGACTGCGGGCCTTACACTCGCGGTTCGCCTGAGCGAAGACACAGATAAATCAGTACTTGTCTTGGAGGCGGGTGGATCGCACATTGACGATATGAGTATCCGTAAGGGAAAGACTTCTATAGTGTCCAGCCGCATTCTCACAGCAATTTCTCCTGTAGTACGCCCCGCCTCGTGGGGAACCCACTTCGGTAATGATACGCAATGCTGGGCCTACAAGACGGTATAGTATATCTTCTCTACAACCAGAGCCGCTCCTCGCTCATTAGAGGGAATCAGATGAATCAGAGATTTTGTGGTGATAAGGCGCATTCATGGCCCAGGTCTGTATCTCGCTCACTTGCTTGCTCGGCGACAGCTTGACCAGTACAATAGGGGAAAGGGTCTTGGCGGAAGCTCTGGAATCAACTTCATGTGCTGGACCAAGCCGCCTGCGGATGAAATCGATGGTACGGTCCACTCTCATTGTACATGCTCTGAATTAACATAATCTGGCAGATATTGAAAGGCTAGGAAATCCCGGATGGAACTGGGCTAATCAAGAGAAATATCTGAGCAGAACGGAAGGGTGAGCTTTCTCCACACCGCGCTAAGGTACCGACCTTCTGAAGATTGGCTTACTCCGACCGTTCCAAGATTCATACCGCCGAGTGTTGATGTTCAGAAGCAGAACAACATGCATCTCGACACCTGGAGGATTGGAAAGACTGGTAATTCCGCACTGCGCTTCGTTAATCCATCATCTGAAGTGCTGTGCTGCAGGACCCTTAAAGGTTGCGTATCCAGGGACGATCCCGGAAGGAGAGCGGAAGGTGCAACAGGTGCATCGTAGTTCCATTTACGTCTGAGTACTCACGCTCACAACTCAAACACAGACATTGCTCAATGCTGGCCTTCCGGTCGCAAATTGCCCTGTAAGTCATCCAAGCATTTCTCCATACGTGACTCATGTTCCGTACGCTATATGAACAGTTAAATGGAGATGTCAGTTGTACCGCTCTGTATCCTTCTTTGAAAATCTTACTTAATCCCGCAGCCAACGGGTGTTTTCTTCTCGCCTTGTACATATGACCCGAACACACATACCCGCTCGTATGCGACAACAGTATGTAATGATTTGTGCCGCTTCTTCCCGTTCGCTGACGGTGCACGATCTCGTGTTGTTTTTAGGCTCATTATCTCCCGTGCAGGGAAAGAGATAATCTTTTTATCCTTATAGGAGCATCAGCGAATCGAGTCCTCACTGAGACGACTGACAACGGCAAAGAAACCGTGATCGCGGTAGAGTTCGAGTATTCGGACCAAACGTGCGCTGTCAATGTGCGGAAGGAGGCCATTCTATCCGCGGGGTTAGCATCTCCTTGTACTAACGAAAAGCGCCAACTCACGTTATCTGCGAATAACAGATCACTTCAATCCCCACACCTCCTCGAGCTATCGGGAATCGGCCAGAAGGGTGTGCTAGCGAAAATTGGCGTGCCACAGAAAGTCGACCTTCCTGGAGTGGGAGAAAACGTGCAGGAGCATTATCACGTTGGCGTAGCATATGGTGAGCATCCTTGAAAGAATTGACATGGATCTATGTTGATTTCTGCGCAGAATTGCGTGATGATGTTGACTTTGACACAGTCGATCAACTTCGCGATCCTAGCGTCCTTGCGAAGCACCTTCAACTCCAGTAAGCTTAGCTTCACCTGGGTCTTCTGCCAGGGGATGGTCTAATGTTTGCTCGTAGTGCTTCTGGAACAGGCTTGTTTACGATGGGAATCATTGGCTTCGCATTTGTTCCGCTGTATATGATATCCGACAAGGCTGATGCTATCTACAAAACTATCGAAGAAAAGATCACGACTAACAAGGATATGTATCCACCTGGACTATATGAGCAATACAAGGTCCAGCTCGAACGTTTGCGGAAAGGGGCCCCTGGATGCGAGTTCATTACGTTCCCTGGCTATATGTCTGCAACAAGTGAGCATCTTGAGTGCGTAATTGATGTGACTAGGCTAATTTATATTAAGAACCCCCTGTGGAAGGCAAGCGATACGTTTCAATAATCTCAGCGATGAATCATTGTTTCTCGAGGGGCGTCATCGTGAGTCTTTTGTCTTCGTGTCCAATGCTATTTCTGAAGCGCTTTACATCCATAGCACTCGGCATCCGTCGACCCGAGGAAGGACCCTGAGATGGACCCACGTTATTTTGAAGAAAGCGTCGGTGTGTGACTAGCCCCTGCTGCCTCGCCCTGATAGTGCATGACCTGTTTGGTATAGATTTAGATATATTCTGTGAGATGGCTAAGTTCGCGAGAGGGCTAGCTCAGGTTTCCCCACTGAAGGACATGATCGGTGAGAGTTCGTGACATATTATCAGAGGATATCAGACACTGACCTATTCCATAGCCCACGAACTTAATCCAGGATCTGAAATACAAAACGAAGCCCAGATTCGCGGTATGGATCCATTTGCGCGCATTAACCCGTGTTTACATGGTCTTTTCGTTCCTAGACTGGGTCAAAAATAGTTTCATGAGCACATGGCGTATGCAATTCATGCACTATGTGTATACAGAACTGGCCTAAATTCTCTTTGTTCACTGCAGATACGGCTAGCTCGTGCTCTATGTTGCCTCGGGAAAATGGGGGAGTAGTTGACCCCAGCTTAAAGGTGATTGCTGGTAATGTATCTCCCTGGACGATACTGAAGTCATTCAGGTTTACGGCACCAACAATCTACGTGTGGTCGACTTGTCTGTGCTACCGCTTCATTTTGCATCACATCCTCAATGTATGCATCCGTGAAGCACCTATGACTAATTGAGCTTCTGACGTTGCCCCGTTACAGCTACTGTGTATGCAATTGCAGAGCAAGGTTCGTGGGGCTTCCATTAATGTGAGATGGTGCATTGAGAAACGTCCACAGCTGCGGATATAATCAAAGGCAAGTTCAACTCCTCGGATGCGGGAGCTGTCGACTAGCCGAATACAATGCAGAGTGCGCAACATAACGGGAGATCGGAAGATTGGGTGGATTTGGCTCAGACACAGGCGTCCATCTGTTACATATGAGTTGACGGAGAGCTTTATATAGTAATTGCCTAATTCTCAGGCATCATTCAATTTTTGAGCTCCATCAAGTTGGCCGTAAAAATCCCAAAAAAATCAAACGTAGGCATGTGTCGGGAAAGTTCTGCATAAAGTCATTATGTGAATTGTGTGCGCGTATGCAACACCTCCTTCACGTGAAGTCGAGGTGCAGCCTGAGCAACAACAAAAAGTTCCAAGTTGAACTAGACCGTCCAAATTGGATTTCCTGAGACGGTGACAATGTCGCGTGATGTGACGCATTCGCATTGCTGTCACTCACTCCGAACACCTACGATCCTTGTACGCTGCACTGTTCAGTGAATCCACTATGCCGGTCCCCTGGGAAGCTCTCATTCCGTTTGGTGCGTTGTATCGTGTTATTCATGTAGTGCAGCTAAAAGCGAGTCCTTTAGGTCTGGTCACGACTATGTTTGCTGCGGCAGGCACGCTACTGAACGTGTCCAAGAGGGCACAGAACCAGGGCAAGGTGGGTCTCAGTATAAATCTATGCGCGCGCATCTCGAAGACGTTTATATTACTATTGCACACAATGCAGCCTAGCAGATTTCACCTCGATTCTTGGGACGAGATGATGATGGACCGGGACAAGCGGTTGACAGGACACATTCGAGGACAGACAGTACGTAGCAGTTTGAGATCCTAGGGATTCAGTTACTGACTTATCGGTGTGTGAATGTAGTCGAATACTACAGCTCCAGAAGGATTCGAGACCAGTAGCGTATGGTACACAGAAAGAGCATATTAGACCTTGGAGCGACTTTAGACATTCACTGTCATCTTTCCTGCGCTATTCTTTTGGATTCTCAGTCGGTCATCGCTTCTTCGCCAGCGCAAGTTGACAAGCGCAAAATAATAGCTGAGAACGATTAGTATCAACAATTCATTTCTGCTTTCAGCCACCGCCAAACGTCCAAGACTTCCTCCGTCCCCGCCAGCTCTTGCCCAAGGATACGATCGTCCAAGAACCCGTACCTCTGTTGTTCCAGCCTTACCTCTAAATCCTTGAACTTTTCTTTTAGTGGTACGTCTACATCCTCATCAGTGGTGAAGGTGCAAGAAAGAAGGACACCATGTTTGGAGTGAATTTTTGCTGTCTGGAACGCATATGACGAGAGTGAAGGGGAAGGTAGATTGAGCAATCGTACATGCTTACTTACCATACTGCCTGACGCGAACGGACGTTGAAGAGTGTGCGTGAATTCTGGCGTTTGGCCATATACCCAATTCCAGCCCTATGGATGTATTATTTTCTGGTACAAGCGTCTATCTTATGATTAGACGACGCACTGGTAATTCCTCGATTCCATTTCTAATATATTCGATACTTCTAGACTCAATATTGTCTTCGACATAGTATATCTGCAAGGCGGGAGGTCCATTGAGTAACTGCGACAATAGCTGATCAGTGATCATGCGAAGGATCGCACCTCTTCGTCTACTTGATATTCACTCCGAAATGCACCAACTACGGCTTGTACAAATTGGATATGGTCAGCCAAGGGATTGAAGTGCTGTAAGTTGCGGACAGGAGACCGGACAGAGGCAACACCTTTTGTGTGCATGGACTCCTATGGGGCCAGGTAAAGTATGTCCATTCATGCACGCAAAGGACTTACTTTATCGACACGGAGGAGGTCACCTAACAAGTCAAGTCTAGTAGATATGAGCATAGTGCCGTGGTGGTACGCGCGATTGTTCACAATCTTATACGCAGATCCCGAGACGTGGCTACGAATTAATGAAATAAATTTCACGCACTCGAACGCCACGATACAAGCAGGACTGGTACTGAACTCGACTTATCTTGTACTGTCCTACACAAATGTCATTCCTGTCGTTCACATGGGCATCGATGTCAAGCGAGCGCACTGCATCCAGAACGACTTGTGCAGTCTCATGCTTGTCGAAAGAATTGCGGGGAAGGTGTATAGAGAAATTAGTGTTCCCCAGATCCTGCATTAAAGTAATACATAGTTAATCAAGTCAAAATTTCCGATTAGCGATGAAAACAAACATGATATACGGTTCCTCCTCCACTGCGTCTGCGAATGAAAGGGATCCTCGTCATACGGGACGTGCGCAGATTGACTTCTTTCCATGGATTTTGGTTCCGACCGATGACCACACACGGTTCGTCGCGATATAACAAGAGTAAGGGCTCTTTCGGAGACTTATGTCTGAACAACCTTAGCTGGGTCAGACGGTGTCACGACACGCTGAATGTTGCTCTCACTTACCAGTCCTCCAGAGAGAGGTTAAAGTATGGATCCGTAGATCTAGAGATGTATATGGAACGATCAGGGCTCAGCACAGTTGTCGTGAACGTACGACACTCATGAGTGAGCCTAATTCGCGGGAACCTGAGAGTGGACAGCATGCACCAGCAATGACCAGTTAACGCGCTGCGTATCCGCGGAACTGTAAGAGCCTGCACCACCAGCTAAAAGATCGAAGTGGTCAGCCCTAAGTTGTGGTCGAGCTCCTTAGCTGATAGCCAAGACGCGTCGCACTTGGTCTCACTTCGCGCTCGAGTCCCGGGCGTCAAGACAGTTGAAATGATCATAAGGAGCCGAGTCTTCCCAGTGCTATTAGGCGGAAACATGGTTTTACTAGAGAACCCGACTCCACTGGATTGTTCACCGCGATCGAAAACTAGACATTACAGTATCATAGATCCATGTAAGTATTCAATACACACGCGCTAGCAATGCGCGTTGCTCAATCTCTATGTCTCTTTTGTTTCTTAGTAACCCCGCCCGCTGTGTCCACAGACGAGATTGACATAGAGCGGCGGGACTATAAGGAAAGAATAACGTGAGTACAAGGAGAGGATCCAGAAACCAAGTCTACGTACTTGTTTTCTACTCCTCCCACTGCGTGTGCTTCTCGTACTCACTACGCTCTGTGCTCTTCCATCAGCCTCCGCCTCTCCATCATTGCCTTCGTCTACATCCATCGGTGTCGGGACCGCGTCGCCAGTCTCTCCGCCGTCTTCGCTATCTCTCTGGCCTAACCTTGCATTCATCACACGAATGTCTTGTTCAACTTTGTCTACAGCCTTCTTGGTCTCGACCAATGCAGCGGCCGCTTCCATGAGACTCTCTAATTGAGTATAATTGTCGCGGGTGGGCATAACAAGACGTGTGGGCGAAATCCCCAATTCCGCAAATACTTGGGCAACCTTGGCGGCGGGAGTGGTCTTCGCAGTGGGCGATTTGTAGGATCGAAGATACACTGGCTGATGTGTACTTTTCGTTGTGGTTCCATTGGACGGTGGGACCTCAGAACGATGTATGCAATGGAGGTTATCTACGAGCGTTGGTTAGGATGAACTCAGGACCACTGAAACGGTCATACCGTATTGAACAGACTTCGTGGTATGCGCCCTCTTAGGCTGTGGAGGTCCGAGCGATATCACATTGGACGCAGACGGCGTGACTGGTGTTTCGGGTTCTACAGTGGCATTATGGGTCTTCTTCTTCTTCTTAGTCTCGAATGGTCCACCGGCTAAACCATCATCTTCAATAGGTAAATCCGACAGACCAGACTCGATGCCAAGTAGTGTGCGGAGCAGCTCGTCACGATCTCGTTTAAATCGCCGTTCACTTTGTTCGAGCCGCTTAAGCTCAACATAGAGTGCATCTTCCTCCGCTTTCTGAAGTTCCGTGCGATTCTCGAGGCTTGCTATGTAATTTTTGCGCATGACTTCTCGGTCTGCGTCAAAACGGCGGTGCTGAGCTGGGACTGAGATTAAATGGTTCGTACTATGACGTACCCTTGTCAAACTGGAGGCTGGACAGGAGCTGCGTCTTGCCAGCTTCATCGCCAGCCCATGGTCGGTTCTTTACCAGTCTGCGACACACAGTATAGTACCTGTCCTTCAAGTCCTGTCATGCAAGCTAAAACTAACATGCTACAGCGGTGATTTGTGGACGCACCTCAAGGGTCCGTTCGGGACCGTCAGCATACCCATACCGGTCGTGTACAATATACCACCGCAGATCATACTCACGGACAAGATCGAAGAGATAGTCCGTCTCTTCCTTCGTCCATTCATTGTCTATATAAGTTTATGTTTGTACGTTGGGCGCCATGATATAAGAAACCTACCTTCCAGAAACCGTGCGTAGTCATCTTGCGAATAAACGAACGATACAGGTTGCACATTATACTTCGAGAAGCCGTACTCTAAGCATGCGTAATCTTGAGCTTGAGACATGTTCGTGGGATATTAAGAGGCTAGCATACCAGCTTCAGGATCTGTCCCAGCTCTTGCCCAGTGAGAGAGCTTGAGTGAGTCTGAACGAGCATCATTCTTGAATGGTCTCCACTCCCTGTTGATTGTTGTACATTTAAGTAGATCAGTGACATTCGCTCAATAGTATGCTTACCATTTCACCCTTCCCCCACCACCGAGATTCGGCTTCTGCTTTAATTGCGGTTTGGCGAGCTGGGTAGTTAGTGCCGGTGTGGACTGCCCAATTAGTGAGAAGAGCTCCCTGGATATCCCCTCTGGCTTTCGGACCCGTTCTGTAGTATTCGGTGCTTTGCGAACCTGAGAGGGACCAGGAGTAGAAGGGTTAGGAAGAGAGAGGATACTCCGGACGTCTGCGGCAGATGCGCCGGCCATAGAATTCACTTGACTACAGCGACGCTAGAGTTTGAACTTGAAACTAGCCCTTTTTAACTGAGTTCGGACACTGAATGGGTAATACCAGACTATGGATGGCTCGGTGCAAGCAAGTGCAAGCTCGGTGTGTGGTGTGTGGAGATCTATCTACCCTAAGACAGTTCAATACAAATACTTTCAAACAATGCTTGTAATATGATTGTAGGGTCATTTCAAGCCTATATTGATCCTTGTATTAGCTATAGTATTCGTTTGTCCTGATCCCAAGTTGACTTTGTCCAACATGTTCGCCAGGTCTACATTCCGCTCATTGCTCCGACCACGATACCGAATCCCGTCAAGACCCCTGCATTTATCGAGCATACTTAGGAATCAAGCAGGAGGATTAAGCAATATCCTTGAGGGTGGACCTGCACCTGCCGTCTTGGTCAATACCATCACGTCGGAAGGCATACACCTGGCAGACGGACTCATTATACCGTCCGCATGTATATTCCTTGACGGAAAGGTCTTCTTGTGGGACGTTCCACAAACACAGTGGGAAGGATGGAGCAAGAAGCATTTCGATATTTTTGACGTGGCTGTGCCAAAACCTGGTGTGTAATACTGAAGCATGTGAGATATCAGTGAATCTCTTATTACCTCTTCTTCAGAGCTCTTGCTCTTTGGAACCGGCAAGAGAGTGTCTTTCGTACCTCCTGCTATTCGCCAATACTTCAGTCAAAACGGAATCCAAGTAGACATCATGGACACCGTCAGTCCACTAAAACGGGTTCCTATGCAGCAGTTCTACTAATTGACTTCATCTGATAGCGCAACGCATGCAGCACTTACAATCTTCTCAGTGAAGAAGGCCGTCGTGTTGCAGCGGCATTGTTACCCCTCGAGGACCGATCATGGCAGCGCACAGCGACCAAATGATCAATGATTATCATATTTATCGCAACACCAAAAATCACTTCAATATCTCTACACGTCTTCAGTACATGGCAGTATTGTTCGGCAATTGTGATAGCCAAGCGATAGTACAACAAATTTCGCAACAACGATACGATAGCGAGCGGTCATGGGAAGGATCAGGACTCATGCAGCATCTGCAGGTGGTTTGCGCTTCCCCTTGCGAGCAGCCGCCAGCTCAGCCTCTTCGTCATCTTCATCTAACAGTGGGGGCAGGGAAACCTCGACGGGCAATAGTTGGCCTTGAGGATATGCGCAAACAACAGTGGTGCAGAGGCAATACACGTTAATAGCAAGCAATGCGAGACGATGTTGGGTTCGTTGTTAAACGGCTCTGACTCACCATTAGCGTCTCTGAACTGCACGAAGACGGGCTCCCAATTGACCAGCGCATTTTTTACCGTAGCGTTTTGATCGAGAATCTCGAACTTTCCATTCATTCGACCTCGTTCCCTTATTCCCCTACACAATTCAAAGTCTTCGAGGTTTATCACATTTGGCACGAAATCCGACTCTTCGTCGGTATCCATGCTTGCACTCAGCGTAACGTGAGGCTTAGGGGCTTGTGTAACTTTTGCTTTTAGGGCATCCAGCGCATCTTCTTTGACAGCACTGATTGTATTGGTAATGGATGCAACGAGGAATACAGTGAGCTTGTGTGTCTTGAGGGGGATGATATATTCCTTGGGCTGAACCTTGGGCGGCTATTGAAGTAATTTCAGTATCGTCGTCTTATCCAGCAAGCTGCAAACATGCGGATACCATTCTAATAGAAATACAGCCGCTTTGATGGTGACATACAAATGCCTCGGTGTCGAGGCAGGTCGTGGACGTCCGCGCGCAACTTGTAGCCACGTTCCGTATTTGGCTAGCATCGAGGCGCCCGCCGGCTGTTCGCCAGTGGTCGGGTGTAGTCGCACATTGCTGTCACCACACATTGTCCACTATGAGCAGGTATCACGACCCTTCAGAGTCGTCGCAACCCTACAAGGATCCCACACCTCTGCCTGACAATGTTCCGAAGGTACAAGAGTTGGGCACAACCAGTGCGCCTCTCAAGAGCGCGGCGTTCTTCCTCGGGGCGTACTGCAAGGACTACAACGGTGCGTTCATCTGGTCTCATCCGCGCAGTTTACCACTATACGCGTTCCGTGTACCACGCCAGCGTTATCGTTTATCTTTCCCCATACAATCAAGCTGATAATGGTCTCATTCGTAACTCTGACTGTACAGATGACTTCATGCTTTGCAAAGCGGAGAACCGTGACCCAGAGCACTGCCTGAAGGAGGGGAGGAGAGTGACTCGATGTGCGATAGACCTGTGCGTATCATCTACAGTACGATACTTTCGTGGAGGTTTTTCGTATTCTAACACAATCACGTTTGTCTTAGCATTTCTAAGATGCGTGATTCCTGTATGCAAGAATTCGAGCAACACTGGACTTGCTTGGAGAAGAACAACCAGGTGTGCTTTGGATTGCAATGGACATGCATGCTGACCCTGCTCACATGAGTACACCGCCAGGAGTATTACCCGTGTCGCAAACCCGAGCGGGCACTGAACAAGTGTATGTTCGAGAAATTTGTGAGTAATCTTTGCTGATGTAGAACCTCTCGGACGGCTGCTCAAGTCATGCTAGGGTCTTGCCAAAGTCATTCCTGGTTCGCCAGAGGGTAAAACACCCATTCACGATGTCCAAAAGCCCATCTATACCGGCGTGCAGAAATAGAATGCTTTACGGCTACTGACAACTTTGATGTATTTCATCTCCTAATTGGCAGAGCTACAAATTTGAAGACATTGCCAGCATATTTACGACGAGGAAGGTCGTGGCACGTATGACTGAGATTATAGCGGTCCAGTATGTACATAGAACAGCCGATAGACAACCGATACATCCATACGTAGGCAAGATTCGTGATCGAATGACGAACTTAACGAGTGGAACATCAGAGCCGCCTTATAGAAATCGTAACAAACCTTTGCTTCGACCAGAAGCATGGTATAAATGTCGTATACTCCCGACGGAGCTCCACGTATCGCTCGTGCAATGGCAGGACTTGCTCTGAATAATTGTAGACATAGACTGTCATCTGCACGGTTCACGGACCAGCATCCGGTTGAGTGAACCGCAGAACAAAATTGACAACAATGGCCACTGTAAGATAGTAGTGAGTCGTAGCGCTGTGTAGGCACTTGCAGGAAACTGACCGAGCAATGCGACACATAACACCGTCTAAACACGCGGATGAGCCGACGGAAACACGAAAAGAAGGGAGTACTTACGGGCCCGATCCGGTCGTCGTAAGGACCTCGCCCGCCTTTACGGATAGATGCAGCACGCCAATGGTATGTATAAAGAGCGTAAACCATCACCCCCATAGCTAGGAACGAAAAGAGCCGCGTGAACCAAAACTTCTCCTGTCGACCAATTGAACCACTTACCCACTACCGAGAACATAGCAGCGCTAATTTTCCCGACCTACAATCCGCCATAGTACCAAATTATTGGACGCTAAGACATATGTGGCTTACTCTGTCTCCGAAGTTCAGCAAACCGACAGCTAAGCCGCCAAGGACCACGGTAAAGTGCAGCCACGAAAGGAACGTGCGTTCATTGGCAAAAGAGACTTTGGGCTCTACGCGTACTGGGAGAGCAATGCGTTTAGCAGCAGTACGTTGCAGCAGGGGCTGCGTCGACATCGTGGTTGAGGTGAGAAGAAAAGACGTAAAGCAGAACCCAGGAAGAAGAGTGAAAGAAACAGACCGGAGAACAGACCGATACGGCAGGACAGCACGAACGTGCGTGATGTCACAGGATCGGGCGAGGCAACCGGAGCGTGATGACATGGGCTTGTGACGTCACATGTCACAGACGCCGCTGAGCTGTGACATGTCGAAATTGCCTCGTACGCTGAGTACACAGTCTGCGTTTGCCACTTTCAGTGTCCATCTATTTCGCCTGCTCACTCTTCAAAATTTGCCTTCCATGGCGAGCATAGAAAATCCTTATGTTGTTCCGCCAATGTCAACTCAGGAAGAAGGTAAGTCTCCTGTACAATTTTGCCGTGTAGACGATCCGAAATGCTATGTGCCTTATTCTGAAGACGCAATTATTCACACCCGAATCACAAACGACGAGAAGGCACTTCGCCGTGTGACCAAGAAATTTCATAACTACGCCTCTGTCGCGTACTCATCTGCAGTCCCGCCATCGCCTACGGGGGCGTCCTCCGTCGACGATGCGCGAGAGGCATTTCTGGTGGAGCTCGCATCGTTCCATCTGTCGCTCAAGAAGAGTTTGATGGTGTGTGAGGCAGAGGCACGACAAGTCGAGGAGTATCACAGGGAAAAAGAACGAATAGGTGCGTGATGTAGGTCCATATTCGACGCGGTTTGTTGAGTCGGGTTGTTTCGCTAAGCAACGGAGCATGTCCACCTCAAGGACCAAATTGAGCGCCTCAAGATAGACCTTGAGCAAGCTCAGCTGGAACGAAGACGGAAGATTGAATATGACGCCGTGGCGGAGAGGGTCAACACTTTACCTAGCAGGGAAGAATTGAGCCTGTGTGTGAAGTATCGTATTTTTCTTTATCGTATCTTACGTTTTTTAGGTCTATCGCCGCCTTGGAGAATGATATGGTGGCTATACGCGCGGAACATGAGGATCAGAGTAGAATTCTTCAAGCACAGAAAGCAGCACTTGACGCGGTCATATCCGAACTCAACATTCTGCGCTTGATGGGTAAGCAGGATGCCGCAGATATCTCGCCCAGTGCTACCCCTGCTCCCGAATTGCCAGCGGTTGAGGAAGATGTCGAGATGGATGGCACCGCGAGCGCGCGGACACGGGAAGAGTCTGGAGAGCTAAAAGAGGACAAGGATTTGGACGAGAATGACAAGTCTGAGGAAGACATTCCCCTGGCAAAAGCACGCCTCAATCCGGGCGCGAGGGCGTTTGTGCCTGGGAAATCTAACCCGCCGACTCCTGGTGCGCGATCCACAACTGCGAGATCGACACCAGTCCCTCCAGCGACGGCGGCAGAAGAGGATGACATTGAGATGGGGGAGGTAGCGGAAGAGCCTAAAGATCCTAAGTTCAAAAAGAAACCGCGAGAAGAAGAGCTGGAGGAGGGCGAAGCCAGCGACGAGAGCAGTGAGTTATCCGACCCTCCAGATGATTGATCAAGCAGGCTCGATGTATGGGCGGTGTGTATTTCTTGTATCATATTATGTTGTCTACTGTGTTATCGTCGCGCTTCCACATCCAAATTCATCAGATCCCTCGCACATATCACTGGTCCGCCGAACTCGTCCGCAGCCAACGCGCTCACGCCTTCCATGATCTTCTTTGCATTCTCGTCAACATCATCATTCCCAGCGTAGCGGGGCGAGAAGTGATTGAGGAGCAATCTTTTTGCACGAATCCTTTTCGCGAACAACCCCGCCATCTGTGGTGTGGAATGACCTCGCGACATTGCACGTTTTCGAACGCTCTCGTGAGTATCTTCGGTTTTCGTGTTGGGATCAATCCCAGGGAGATGCGCATTCGTCGCTTCATGAATCAGGAGATCCGCGTCGAAAGCCAAATCAGCGATGGGTGAGGGATCGTACGTGTCTCCTAGTATGACAATCTTCCGACCAGGCCTATGTGGAGGGCCACGCAGAATCGTACCATCTGAGAGCACAGTGCTCTCACCCTGCTGCAGACGACTCATGACAGACATTGGCGCCCCAGTCCGTTTGAGGTGGGGGATGTATTCTTTGGGATCCATCTTTCCCGGGACAGGGAGCTCGTTTAAGACGTACCCCACGCACGGCACTGAATGCAAAATGGGAGCAGCAGATAAGGAGACTATACTGTCCCTGAATATCTCTGGCCATGTTCCATCGACTTGTGGTATGTTGCGCCCTGTGGGCAGCTCCGCCGGATGCGGAGGCAGGGAGGTGTAACCTTCTGACGGCGTATCTGACGGGAAATGGAGCTCATGCACGATGTACGGCGCCCCTAGATTGGTGTATGTGTACGTGAGTCCAGTGCGAATATATGCGCGGGTGCCGAGAGGGCCATATATTTCTAGAGGCTTTTGATACGGTATGAAAGAGGCGGCATAGCCTGAAGATGGCTTATACTGACCGGGATTGAGTCTTGAATAGCATCGGACCGTAGTCGTGTATCATCTGCATTGTTTACCATACCTCCTGCACCATTCAAACGGCTTGCAAGGAGGGGGATGAGCCCGAATATGTGGTCGCCTAGTATTTTGGGTGAGTGGAAGCATCTTGAGTGCTCTACTTCTTCGGCGCACCGTGGGTATGCGTGATAAATATCTTCTGTATCTTTCCCATCTTGACGTTGCTCTTCTGAATTCGATGTTGGGTGGCCTCTCCACAGTCGAAGAGCCAGACATCTCCGTTGAGGTGGAGAGCGAGAGAAGAATGGTTGCGAGTGGAGGACGGCTGAGCCGAAGCACTTCCCAAGATAGTAATACTGATGGACGACAAGCTGACGGGCGACATACGATGGAGAGTTTTGAAGAAAGCTGGGAACTCATCGAAAGGGGCCCTGCAGGATAAAACATTGCTATGATAGTGCTCCGGGCCGGCTGACACGGACTTGGACAAGTTGATGATGATTGATGACTTGTCCTCCAACTACTAAGTAGCAAGCGCCAAGGCACAGTCTGGATCCTCGCAATTACTACGTGTGCCTCTACGATGCGTATTTTGCCTATGAGTCGTCGTGCATAATACACTCAGGAGAATCAGAGTGGAAGTGGTCTGTATATTGTACATTGTACCCCGGGCCATCTTTAAGTTCAAGCTGCACGTGCGAATGGACTCAGTCAAGTCGATCGCCTCTAAGTTCTCACGGCCGATCGTAGCTGGGCGCGTCGAGTCGCGACTCTTACTGCATCTAATTCAATCCCTCCTCCTGCTCGAGGAACATGTCCCTCCCCCAGCTATCCCCTATTTCACCTCTTCTCTCTCTCGCGATTGTCTCAGTGGCCAAAGCTCCGTCTTGCAATTCGATAGAACCTCAACGTCGCCGTGGGAGTGGACTCTAACCACCTTCGTTGTCAAGTAGAAGTGCTGGTCGTCCAAAATGGCGAAACCGAAGAAGGTCAAGCAAAAGGTCCTGGACAAGCCGAGTGCTGACAACCCACCACCTCTGGACACACCTTTTGCTGATTCTCTTAAACATGATACACAGGCCGAATTATCCCAGCCCGCTGTTCAGACAGAGGATCTGCCCAAACAAGATACTTTCCCTGCGGAAGACGGTCAGCTGGATCTCCCAGGTACGTGTGCGCTTATCTTTCCCGCTATCGTGCGGACAATGATGTTTCTGCCTTTTATTGCCTGCTTCCACCTCCACGGCTTCTCACACTCGCGCAATGTCTCGCAAACGTCGCAACGCTGTCTCCGCAGGAGGATACTTTGACGCTCCGCCTGCAGACAACGATGATGGGTGGGGTACTGCCGCGACAGAGTCGGCTGGACTATGGGACAATTCGCAACCTCCCGCAACCAATCCTGAGGCACAAGACGCAGCAGATTGGGCCATGCCAGATGCAGCTGTGCTAGGAGACTGGGTAGACGCAGCAGCTCCCCCACAGCATGTCGGAAAACCCAAGAAGAGCGGTGGTAGGAAGGGCGGTGCAGCTGTTGTGCCCCCTCCTCCCGCCTCTTTGGTCGTCCCTCAGCATCACGCTTCTTTTGCCGCTGCTTCTCCCTTGTCAGTGGCTAGCAGGTCTGCACCAGGATTCGGGGACAGTGGGGATTGGACAGCCGCGGATTGGGGTGACTCCCAAGGCTGGAACAATTCAGCACCGCCAGTACCACCGGCACCACCACCTCCTTCACAGATGCAAACCTCCCATGCACCGGTAGCTGGGGCCTGGAAGAACTGGGGAAACGAAGCCCGGGGACTTTCTAAGGTATCTTCCATTGCTAATAGACCGTTTCCTCCGGAGCCCTCCCCTGCCCAGACTGTCACGTCTACGGCGGGCAGGCCTGTCCTATCTCCTCAGCAACGATCCGAGCGTTTGCAATCGTTGCTTACGGATCCAAGCCAGACTAAGAATGTTGCTCTACAGCCTTCACCGCCTTCTCAAAATATGAGTGGTACAAGACAACAGCAAGCGGCTGCAGCACAACATGCAGCTGTAGCCCTGCAAAGACAGCTCCAACAACAACAACATCAGCAGCAATTGCAGGCACAGCTTCAGCATGTGCGAATGCAACAGCAACAGCAGCAGCAAGCACAGTATGCTGCAGGCCAGAGGGGAAGACCCCAGCAAGCCAGGCCACAGGCTCCGCCAATGCAGCAGTCTGAAAGCTGGGGCAGTTCCGGCTGGGGCGGCGGAGGTTGGGGAAACAACAATGACTGGGCCGCTACAATACAAGAAGAGAACGAGGATGACGAGGAGTATTATGACGAAGAAGAAGAAGAGGAGGAAGAAGAGGAAGATGAGTACGACGACAATGGTAATGGTGGCTACGGCTACCGCGACAATTATGCCGCTCCTCGAGTACGATTTTCTCCAACAGTATCCTATTCTACGGAAGCTCCTCCTCACGCCCGTGGGTTTGCTCCTTCCACACCATCTATGCATTTCCCTCCTCCCCCTGCCGCCCCGTCGCATTCTGCTACCCACCCACAGGCTGCAACTCCTGCCACGGTTCATCCGTCGCTTTGGGGAAACGGAACGCCATCCAAGACAATGGCTATGGCGGCAGGGCACACAATCTTCGAGTTAAAGTTACCTCGACATGGCATGGGCCAGACCTCATTCATCGAATCGAACGGACAAGCGCTCTACTACGCTCAACGTGCGCTATTCGGGAACACTCGCCCGGCGAAAGAGCGTTTCCACTGGGCGTTCAATCCAGACAAGGACGAACGCGTCGCGTCGCTCCTGCGATGGGTTGACGGGATGAAGGGCGGGCTCGCATCGCTTGGTGTCAGTTTGTGCTTTGTCCGATGAATTGTCTAGCTGTATGCACGAGTGCTCATCGCGTTGTCCGTCCCCACATAGTTTCAAAAGTTTATGCAAACAGGCGAACGCGGTGCGCTGATCAGCAACGCGGACTTCCGCGCTGATTCGACCCCAGGCGCGTCCGTACAGCCTGCATTTGATTGGATCACCATGGCGCAGCTACAGAACACGCTTGACCGCACGATGCAGGAGTCTGTGGCTTTATACGATCCTGCTATGCAGGTGATTGTATTCATCTTTTTGTTGTCAAAGACAGGGAATAGCATGGCGCTCTGGCGGAGGAAGCTGTCAGTGCCCGAGAGCTTACGGGTGCAATTTTCGCAAGATATTGAAGCAGTGAAGGAGAGGCTTGACGCCGATTATCCGGTGTATGTAGAAGAGTAAGTCTGAAAGTGGTGCCATGGCGTATTTGATTGGAACTTAACGTACAGTGTAGGTTACCGCCGAAAGAGGAGCCTCCGCCCCCAGAACCACCCAAGAAGAAACGTAATTTATTGAGCAAATTGAAGTGGATTGGCTTGAAGCGAAAGAAAAATGAACCGCCCCCTGAATGATTTTTGGACTCTTGCACCTATGTCTCTATACCCGCTATCATACGCTGCTCGCTACTGGAACTGCTTAATATTTGTCTCCAATCCGCTGTATTGCTCGCTCATCTTGCTGGATCATAGCTGTCTATATGCATTCCACCTCGTCGCATCTTCACAGTTACATCTACACTACTCTGGGAAGAGGGGCGACCTCATTGATATAGTAAAGACCCCTGAATATATCTTCTCTTGATATTGATAAGGTCTTGGCGCAGCATCAAGGGCGTTCCGCTTCCTTTGATGCTTCGCAGTCGGCTGTCGCTGCTTCACGAGCAACTCGCTAAGACCATGACAACGCAGACTGTGTTGCGCGGTGACGTACAAGCCCTCCTAGCTCATCAGCGGGGCACGAAGCGCGCGATGACCTTGCTAATGAAAGACAGGACAAAATGTAGGGTCGCCTGGACGAGATGGATGAAGAACTGGGCGAAATGACGGAACCCGGATGAGATGTCAGATCGCCTGAAGGTGAAAGCTGTAATGGGTGACATGTAAGAAGCAGCCGGATAAAGCTCGCGCAACTATGTAAGAGACTTGAGTTGTTCCTTGTCCCTACGTTCCGCGCGAGGTAAAAGAGACTACATAGTAGTTACTGGGATGCTGTTGTGGACTCGCGTGCGCAAAGCCGCCGGGTGGGGCTCAGCGGAATAACATTTGACTCACCTGTTGATCGACTTTGTATGAACCTACTTATAATATCTCACCGAAGCCGGTGCACGTGTATTACGCACAACCCTCGCCTTGTATCGCGCCAGGCCTTACTCATTCCCCTGCCCTCTGTCTATGCTCTCGGATAGCAGCGGACATTCATGCAGTCTCAGAACTCTACTCCAACCCAGAGCCCATGGCCAGAGCTGCCAGGGCGCTCTGCAGGCATAGCAACCCCAGACGGTGCCGTAGACCCAGATCGTCGAAAGCGGGTACGCCCACATCCCGCCATCAGCGCTCTGATCCTAGGAGCAATCGCGTTGCTGCCCTGCGTGTTCGTGCGCCGGCAAACGGGAGCACTGCGCAAAGAGCTGATGGTTGCTGAAGCAAAGAACACGGGATTGCGCAAGAACGTGAAGATGGCACTAGCTGAGATCATCCATGTGCGCACCGAGCACATACAGCTAGTGAAATTACTCGAAGAGAACAAGCGAGCGATGGAAGGATTGAAAGGACAAATGGACCGCATGGAGAGCTCCCGTGTGGATGTGGATCTTCGGATACATGGCGGACTGAAGGATATGGGGCAGACGTTGCAAAGGCTCGAGGCAGACGGCGTGCAGCGAGACCGCACGTGGGCAGAGTGGGAAAACACTTGCCGTAATGATCTTAAGGCACTTTTGCGCGACGCTCAGCAAACAAGGTGAATTGTCACTCACTCAAACGATACACCTGACAGAAGATTTGCGACTCATCCTCATATCATCAGGTCACACCTCGCCGCTGTCCAGGAGGTCGGGACATCCTTAGCTCACGTTGCTGCGTTTATGCACGAGGTTGAAGTCAGGCAGGGCTATGTACCACGCAATGATGATGGGCGAGGTATCGAGCAGATGCGACATCTTGCAAAGAAATTGCAGGAAGCTCCTGGGTCGAATTTCGGACAAGAAGTTGGTGGCCTTCATTTTCTTAGAGCTTTATCTGACCATCTTCAAGTTGAAGGAGACTGAAAAGGCGGCCTCGGGTACGAACTCAGATACCACTTCGAGGGCTTCCTAACATTGTCTCTGCGTGGCTACGTTCCGTTTGTTATCTGCAACCAAGATGTAGGGCGTGTGATGATCTTGCACCATTCTACCATTAGCATGTACTCGTACCATTGTAGTCTACTGATAGTGATATTTTGTAGCAAATTGAATATTGTCATTCACTTCATCTATTTCATCCAACCAGTTTTTCGAGGCTATTGACGGAGGTATATTATCAGCATGTGATGCAGTGTATAAATATTTGCGAATATACGACCTTAGCACTTTTCTGATGCGGCACAAGGAACTGTTCCATCAAATCGACATCCACCCTTCCCCAGCCCGCATAGTCCCCCACACGCATGTCTTTACATCTCCGCGTGTGAAATGCAAGATGGTACGAGAGGACGGCCGGCCACTCGTATTGCATAGTGATTTTGACGAGGTGGCTGCTATAGCGGAAGAAATAGTATGGGAGCATGGTGGGCTGGCCAGACGCTAGGCCATGCAACGTTAGGATGGAAAAATAGGCATTCAAAGGGACAAGGAGGGCATCGAGACTGTGATAGAGCTCGATCGCAACAGGTGGTAGTCGTAGTGAGAGACTACTGTCCTCGAGTGACGGGTCGACCATATCCCATTGCGATTCCAAAATACGGCGGGAATCGAGCTTGTAGATGTCGACGCCTTGTAATGTGTGATTGAGAATGGACGACATCATGGTATCGTCAACATGGGGGAAGAGGTATAGAAGATCACCAGAATCCTGGCCTGGCGGGTATGTAGATCGCGACATGGAGGTCGCTTTTAAGCAGGCAGAGGTGTGGGGGTAAGAGTGGGAAAAGAGTGGGGCGGCCAAGGAGCGTAATCACAGAGATCTTATAAGCCGCCAGTTGCCCGTTGTTGAACACCAACAACAGCAGCCCTGTCGCCACAGCAGGCCACAGACGCCCCAAAGACAAGCGAACGACCCACAAGACTAGGAGCGAGCGGAATGCATTGCGCGTCGTTTCTGCCTCCGAGCGGTGAGAATCGCCCACTGGACCAACACAAATGAACTGCCACCGCTGAGGCTGAGGATCCCGCAGCTGGGAGAAGACGGTGGACAACAGCCGCCACAGTTGCCTTGTTGGGAAAATTATGGGCGTGGGAACGATGGCTGAAGAACTAGACAGTATACCCGCGAGCTGTCCCACGCTACCCTGATCATCCCAAGCTCGGCACGTACATTCTCTACGACACTTCCTCAAGGTGAATATCTCTTCTTTTCTCTGCTATTGTGCCATCTTTCTTGCCTGGATGATGCTGGATGATGCGAACGCACATCAATTCGGATGATCCATGCCATTTCGCGGCCTCGAACGCCTGCCGGAACGATCTGTACTGACTGTATTGTTTCATTAGACTTCAACAAAATGCCGGGCAAGGTCAAAGCGTACGAGCTCCAATCCAAGTGCGTATACTATGCGCAACAGCTCGAGTGCACTTCGGGCACCGGTTAAATGATTCGCTCTCTTAGGTCGAAGAATGACTTGTCGAAGCAGCTCACTGAGCTTAAGAATGAGCTCCTGGCCCTGCGGGTACAGAAAATCGCTGGCGGCTCTGCGGCGAAGTTGACAAAGATGTGGGCGGGTTTTCCGTGAAGTGCTATTGTGTTTGACTTATTGTGGTACCAGCAACACCGTTCGCAAGTCAATCGCGCGGGTGATGACTGTCACGAACCAGAAGCAACGGCAAAACCTGCGTGACTTCTACAAGAAGAAGAAATACCTGCCGCTTGACCTTCGCGCGAAGAAGACACGGGCAATCCGGCGACGACTGACATCTGTACGTGCTCTCCGTCCTGGTTGAATATGATTCTGATTGCATTCTGCATTTGCGCATATGATAGCACGAGAAGTCGCTGAAGACTCTCAAGCAGCACAAGAAAGACATCCATTTCCCCATACGAAAGTACGCGGTGAAGGCAGCATGAGCTGGGGGAATCGGATGAGGAGGGAGCGGAGCAGGAAGGGAAGTTGCTTTGAGGTTATTCTTTCGTCTGTATGCAGTACGCCACCGCCAGTCGCTATGCCATGCACTATGCCGGGTGTTATTCTCGTGTGTACTGTCCCCTGAGAATGGCGTCCGGTCTGCCGGGGTATGGGAACGCCTGCGGCGGCATTGCGGGAATGGAAGGGCGCCCCGCGTGCTCGCGTTGAGCTCGACACTGTTGGGACGTGATAAAGTTGTTGGCGGGAAACCGGCGG